ACGGCAATTTCTTCATCCAATCAGAATCGCGAAACGACTTTCTCACACGTGGGAAAAGCGTTTCGTCCAATCAGAAATCAGCTGTCAAAATGAATCGATCAGTTCGCAACGCGCTCACGTTGTTGTTGGCGTCTCTTCAGTCTTCATTCACAGAAGTTTGTTAAGTTTCATGCACAATGAAGTTTACTCCAGTTTTCTCGCAAATTAGCTATAAACCACAGACATTGGCGGAAAGTTCTAACAGGTTTATCACTTTAGATAAACCCATTAAAAAGTACATCCAGGGACAGCAGAACAAAAGGACTTGCTTGCTTAGCGAATTCCTCAAACAGAAGGAGGCAAGAAAAGTTTTAAAGAAGGCAAATATGCCGCAAGCATTATCGACGACAAAGAGTTTTACCAAAGAAATGTCTGGAAGCTCGAAGCAAACGACTTAAAACAAAGAGCAAGGCAAAAGAAACAAATCAAACGCAGCTGAAGCGTTGACTGATGACCAGGTAAACATTCTGGACGAAAAATATTTACACTAGGTTTTTGAAGAAGCGACAAAGTGCCTGCGCTCAGACGGAATTAAAAAATAACTTGACATTTGTTCTGCCGAATGAAGGGTGAAAATCTGGTTGAGGGTGAAAATCTCAGTAAGTATAAAATAAAGAAATTACAGCATGGAAAGTGCTTTGTACGGTATTTACGCACTCGTTGATTTTGTATCAGAAAACTCGTACGTAAATACCGTACGCGCGCACTTTCCATGAAGTAATCTATGTATTATAAAATAAAGAGACAAACTGCTTGAGAAAAAGCATTTTTATTTCAAAATCTTTCAACAATTGGTCCCTATGCGTAGCAAAGAATTGTGATTAGTCTAGGAAAATCACGCCACTGTCAACGTCGCTTCTCGTGGAACGAAAACTTACAGCAAAAGTAGAGTTGAACTGCGAAATCCACAAATCTTTTAGAAAATGTTGGAAATATCAAGTCAGTTTTTGTCATCAGAGCACCCTTGTGAACTGAGAAAACCTGGACGTTGCCTTGAATAGGCAGGAGTTGAAAAATACGCTCGGAAAACTTGCGGTTGCGGTCAACATTAGTGGCCATTCGACTCGAAGTTTGATTGAGAGCGTTGAGGTGATGTTACACGGGTCGATTTTTAATCCGTGTTACACGAGACAACTTTTGACGCAACTTCGAGAGACGATTTTTGAAACAAATTGTAAATTCGGGCGACAATGCTGCAGGTTTTTGAATCGCTTTCAAAAACATGCAACATGTTGTCGCAACGAAATATTGCGTTAAAAGTCGCCATGTGCGCCATGTTACACGACATCGATTTTTAACGCAACAATCTTGCGTTAAAATCAGCTCTTGTAACATTTCCTATAGTCACGGTGGAAATTTGTGTCCTTTGTGGTTGGTGATTCTCAAATCAATTTGATATGCTCGGCGACACTTTCTAGCTGCGATACAGTCGTGTACGGGTCCGCAAATGATCTACCCTGGGTACCAGAGGTTTTTTCTCGCGAGCGGCGAAGCCGCGAGAAATTCTACAAATGGCTATTAGCAGAATTCTACTAGTATACTAATGCAAATGCTGCAATCTAATTAGCTGAGCTACTCTTATACTATCACCCATTATAGTTCACCACTAAATTTTCTCCGATTCTTATTGGTTTAAGTTGATCACGTGACGCGATAGTGTTCATCCGTGGAGAGACACTAGGGAGTTCTAGCAATGACGACGGCGACGCCGAGAACGACACGTTGTAGAAAACAGTATTTATAGTTTATCCTCGAATGTCGCAACTGTGTAGATCTGTTCAGTACGCCTATCGTTCTAAAAACTTGCTCAGGCCAAATACGTAATGACAGCGTTTACTTTAAAAGAAAGACACGAAATATTCGCCACTGCGTTACACGTTCTCTAAAATACGTACGACTTTGTCATTTCACGTTGTTGTTTTACAGAGGACGGCAAAGAAATGTATAAAGATTGAAAACGCACGTGCAGAACAATGTGGTTCTGCTGTATTTAGCTGCGAGACAAGTTGGTCACAAACGTGGTAATACGCGCAACAATGTGTTTCAACTTGCAATGCAACAATGTTGCGAGACAAGTTGAAGGAAAATGTTACCCGTATTACCGGACGTTTAAATAAACCACTTTGTTCTTGTTACCGACGATCAGGAGTTCTGTATGGGAACAACCCTGCTCTGCATTGACACTACTTATCTCCTCCTTCCCTTCGGTAGCATTTTGTACCATTTAGATAAAGTAGTTATATAAAGTGTTGTAAACAAATTCAGGCTGTCTGGGGGAATTATTTTGGAACAATTAAGGTCTATTTTTACAAATTGATGTCTTTTGTTCATGCATCTGTCCTGCTATTGACCATGAATTTCGTCATAATATCGTCAAGGTTGGAAGGTTGTCAAGAAAAACAAGCAACGATTTCTGCTAGCCAAAAATAAAGTAGATTGTAGACACACACTTTTAGGGTTGAAATTTGTATAGCTGATCGTATAGCTACTCACATTACGAGGGATACTGGAAAATTCTAGGAATTTTTTTCTCAGTCATTTACTTACACATGTAATTCCTTCTTGTTACTGTACGAACTTGCTTCTGGTTAAAATTGTTTTTGCACTCTTTAGATCGGGATGATGAAAACAAAATATACGGCGACGACGACGATGATGATGAAATAAGTGGAAGGGGACAAAATGAGAGTGGAGATTCCTTCGATTTCCATGACACGGGATATAAAGAAAGTTCATTATCGAGAGATCAAGCACAACATAAACTCACCGACGAAGACAGACATGGAGGTCAACGGAAAAAGAAACAGAATCATTCAAGAACAGCTGATCCTGGCGGTGGGGCTGGACTTCTGTTGTCACTGGTGGTTACTGCTTTTGTTCTGGGTGTTGTTTCGATTGTATTTCTCCGCAGGTAAACCCGGGTTACTTTCGAAAGCTGTATCAGAAATAAACACAAATCACGGACTTTTGGAGAGCCACGCTCTTTAGGCTCTGACTATTCCTCTCTGAAATTCTCTCCGAAAACCAGTGTTTAATGCCGGGCATTTAGTGTATTCGAGGACGTGATTTTGACCACCTATTCATATTCTTATCAGTAACCATGCAATTTTATGGCACACTTACACTCGGAAAATTAGTTAACTGCGAAACCAAAACACTTCATAGAATCGGCAGTCGAGGTATTTCTAAACAAAAATGGAAACCTTACAAGAAATAGCGATTTTATAGTATGCTCAAGCTCGAAAAATTCGTAGACTGGAAAACCAAAATGATTCTTTGATTCGCTTTCTATTTATCAACAATTCAAGACCGTTCCCAACTACCGGTCATATACAGTGAAAACCCCCGAACAAAAACCTAGTTTTTTTTTCAAGTTAACGTCTCAAACTCATTAATAATTTATCAAGTTTAAAGAAAGGAAATCATGACCGTGACGGTGTTTGGATATCTGATCTTAATTAGCATAGATTTTTACGATTTTTATTCTCCGTTTTCTCCTTAGTTTTAGTTTCGATTGAGAAGGTATATCAAACACTCAAGACAGTGTTTGACCACATTTCCAAACACCTCGAACTTTGTCAAAAATACTCCGCTACGCGTCGTATTTTGAACTCTCTTCTTGGTGTTTGAAAATGTGGTCAAATACAGTCTTTCGTGTTTGATATATTACCTCCATAATGAGGTTCTTATATAAATGATGTTTACTGTGAAATTAGGCCACCTAGGTTCTAAGTTTGTCAAAAATACTCAGCTACTCGTCGTATTTTAAACTCTCTTCTTGGTGTTGGAAATGTGGTCAAACATAGTCTTTCGTGTTTGATATATTACATCCATAATGACGTTCTTATATAGATGACGTTTACTGTGAAATTACGCTACCTAGGTTCTTAATTTTTTTTTAGAAAAAACTTGTACTCGTGGATGTGGCCTTTATATTGAAACACATTTTTCTTGACATGCACAGCTATGGATGCATTACAGTATTGTGGTCTTAAAACGCTGCCAGTGTTCTGGCTAGTTTTTGTTACCTTTTTTTGTATCGCATGTGATGTACTGCGGCATTATATTTGAAAAAAATTCAATGTTTTAAAAATAAGAACCGGTATTGAGATTTTAGCCTAGAACGGTTCTTGTTTAACGGGAAAATTTTAGCCTAACAGGTTCTTCAATTTTAGGTTCTTATACGCGGGTTTTTACTGTGGTCACTGCATTAAAAAAAATTCCTTGAGAATGTAACCAGCCCCTTAGTTCTTTTAAAACTGCTAGCATGTATTCAAAGCAGTAAAGTATTGATAAAGGAAATCACATTTACAGAAAGTGCTGTCGTGGAGAGGCGCCAAATGCTGAACTTGAATCAGTGAGGATGAAAACTAACAGCAAACGTTTGGCTTTCGAACAGTCTGGACACAAAGAAGCCCGAATCAATGTCGGCAAGCGGAAATCTCAAGAAAATAAAAAGGTTCTTAGACGACTAAGCACGGACCAGGGAGCAAGTACATTGAAAGAGGAGTTGTCCATAGCATGCTCTATTATCTGTCCGACTATTGAGACACGAAGAAAGAACTCTGGCGCTTTACATACTAGAGCAGTAAGTGCTTCGCGTCGTTTCTTTCTCTGTTGACCACGAGTAAATGTCGAGCTGGTATGTAATTGTTAACAGTTTTAGAAAAACTCAGAATAGCCAGCCCTATTTGACCATATCCAATTTGAAAAAGAGGCTTGTTTGATCGGTTTTAAAAACCCGGATTTTCTCATATTTTTAAAATTTTCTTTCTTTTTATAAATATTAGGTTAGTTAATTTTTTGCCAGGTGGACACCATCCTTAAGGTTGCTATACTGCCATATTCTTATCAATAAGTATATGTATATATGTATGTGTTGAGACCATAGGCAAAACCAGGCAAAGAAAATTTCTAAGTCCTTCGAATACTAAAGGTTCATTCAGGGTATCTTACGGTAATTGTCTTACACAATTGCATTTATCTGTGATTAAATCAACAGTGCATTCGCGCAGCCACGTCACACTCTCGTCGTGGCAGCTCCTTTCAAGAGGACCTCCAGCAAGCTCGCTGTGAGTTCAGGAATGCTCCTGCCAGGTTTGCCAAACTTGTTAGTTTCGCGGGAGACGAGAAAGAAATTAAGGCTACGCAAGACTCAAACAACGAGGCCGTTACAATAAGTGATAGCCCCGTGGGCAGTGGCCATCAATAAGGTAAAGTAATGCCATGAGGTCGTCGAGTTTATCCTCAAAGAATAGACTCGGAATGCATTCAGTCCCTAGATGTCTTTCCCGGCATAACCAAAGGGACCTTTAAGTCAACTCATGAATGGACATGCTGAACCATAATATACGTTGCAGAAATTTACCTTTAATTTCCATTTTGAGTATGAGCAGCCATTGTACTTACGCTGGGTCTGAGTCAGAACACTTCAGACATAATACACGTATATAGATTTAGCCAAAGGTAAACGGGGAGCTCCTGATAGTAATAATTACCCATAGAGGAAGGAGAGGATTTTTTCCTTGGACCAGAAACTCAAAAAAATGATCAACTACACTCGGTCCAATTACTACTACAAATATGTCGGAAGAATAGTCAACAACGCGCCAGGGATGATTTCCGCCGATATTTTGCCTTTCCAAGTACTCCCTCCTCCCTCCCCCAGAGTAATAACCTGACGAGCCTGTGATCCACTCGAAAAACTAGTACCTGGTCAGTGATCAACTTCAAAAAGCACTCGACCTTGATGAGCTCGTAACCTGAGCCCACAATATGGTCAAGTGATACTGGTCAGCTGATACCTTGTTTTCACAGCTGTCAATAGGCCATTTTTCCATAACTGCAGAAATTTTCGCGCGCTTATTGGCTAATTTTCATCATCAATATGCGGACAGACACATGAATTTATAATTTATGCGATGTGTCAACGAGCAAGAGCAGACAATTTGACACTGTTATGGTAAGAAACAAATTGACGTCAGTTTTTCATATGTCTGTCCTGTTATTGACAATGAATTTTGTCATAACATTGTCAAAGTAGTCTGCGGATCCACTCGGTTATCGCCTTGTGGATCCACAGCTACTTTAACAATGTTATGAAATTCATCATCAATAACAGGACAGAAGTATGAAAAACTAATGTCAATTTGTTAACTTTCGATATATTGAAATTCAGCTTGATAGTGAGACCTAGAGGGCATAAACAAAAGACATAAATAAACATGGTCATTCAATTTCCTTTGTTTTTGTCCTCTAAGCCTCACTGCTAAGTTGAATTTTACTAGCGTAGCTCCAGCGGCCCAAAGGGCCGCCAAGGGGAGCCCAATACTCGTATAGGAAAGAAAAGGAAACCCATGAGTTTATTTTCTCATGGTTATCATGGCTAGCGGTATTGCTCGTGGGCACGTATGCACGACAGTGACGGCGATGACAACGACGACAAAATCACAAAACATGGCGGCCATACTCCAAATAATATATAGATTTAGGCCAGCCTAAAAGCGTAGCTCCTGGGCCGGATTGTTCAGAGCCAAATTAAGCTAACCCAGGAAAAGGTAGAATTTTGATTTGAGTTTTGTAACCTTGCATTGAGGTTTTCTGTATATTGTTTGGCCTTCTGTTATGAGTTTTAAGGATCACTATATACACAAAACAAAGCAGCAGAAAACATTTGTATAGAAGAAAAAGTTATAATTCAGTTAACTTTTAATCCTGGGTTAGCATTAACCGGCTTCTGAACAATCCTGCCCTGTTTTCAACAAGTTAACATGAGATGAGCCCGCGATCCAATCGAAAACCAGCACTGTCAAAACAAGGTATCTGCTGATCAGTATCACGTGACCATATCGCGGACTCAAGTTTACAGCTCATCAAGGTCACGTGTTTTTTTGAAGTTGACCGCTGACCAAGTGCTGGTTTTCGATTGGATTGTAGGCTCATCTCAGGTTAACTTGTTGAAAACAGGGCAGGATTGTTCGGAAGCTGGTTAACGTTAACCCTGGATTAAAAGTTAACCAAATTATAACTTTTTATTCTATACAAATGTTTTTTGCTGCTTTGTTTTGTCTATATGGTGATTATTAAAACTCAAAACAGAAGGCCAAATATACAGAAACCCTCACCGCAAAGTTACATGAAATCAAAATTCTACCTTTCCCTGGGTTAGCTTAATCAGGCTCTGACCAACCCCACCCAGGAGCTATGCTTTTAGGCTGACCTAAATCTATAAATTATATCAAAGGTAGTCTATTAATCATAACATGGATGTCCAATATCAAAAGAGGTACCTAAGGTAATGGTGCTACTATCATTTTTCAAGGTATGAGGCTAGGCGTACGGACGGACAGTCACTTGACAACCAAACTTTTTTAAGATCTATGGGTTTCCAAATTTTCGCCTACAGTATACCTTCAGTATACCGGCAATTTCCTTCAAATTTGGATTTTTGGGTCAAGGCAATAGTTGATGAGTAATCTCTAATTTCTGAAAAAAATATTGGCAGAGAAATGGTGGTTTTATGGGAATTTGTTCGATTGCCCTCAAATTTGGACAGTAGCTAGTTTAACATAAACAAGAAAAACATGTCTGCGAACTGCTCAATTCGAAATACTTTTTCTCCAAGAGCGATTTTTGTATGATCACTCCACATTTTTTTAACCCTATTTTGAAAATGTTCTGTAACTTTTTACTGCAATTGAATACTGTAAAATCCCACTTTAAAGTCGCCCTGGTTATAAGCCTCCCCCTGGATATAAGCCCATCTATTTGCTAACAAAGATATTATTCCGGATATAATCCCCCCATATATCAGCCCATCTAATGTATAATTGCGTTCCTTAAGCGTTTCTTTACAAACATCAAAATTTTTATTCGAAAGTTCTAGGAATAAACAACTGGCTGTGGAGTTTAGAACAATAATTATAACGATACCAAACAAAGAAGCAAGTCTTCATACTTATATGACCACGTTCCACTGTTCATTTACAACACAATTGTTCAACGACAATGTTTTGCAGTACGGTAATTAAGCAAACGGCTAGCTACAATCCGGCAGTTTTCCATGCACGCAGATTTTTTTGTAGCCTCCGTAAAATGAACATTGAGCCTTCCGTATTCCTTTCCTCACTTGCGCTTTGTGTTTCTTGCTCCTGTAAATGTTACACAAACATGCTAATTCAATTCCACCTCCAATAACCCAAGGCCCCTAAAGTGGAATTTTAAGATAGTTTATGTCTATGTATGCATATACAGAGCATTTTCGACTGCATTACGGAGGATCTGTTTTTTTATATCATATTAATCTATCAAGTGGCATATCCCAAGCAAAGTCTCTCAGAATCCCTAGTGCTCAGTGCTTATAGGTTAGGCCATCCCTACAACGATGTGCAGGGTATTCGGCCCTTTTTTTTTCCAAAGTTGTTTCTCGGATATGTAGTTATCCAATCGGTCCCCCGATATAGCTGGACATCCATATATAGTAGGACTACAGAGCCACAACTGAAAGCTTGACCTATGCAATTCTTTTATAACGTAGCGACTAAATCCCGTCGGAAAGAAGCCCGCAATAGACAACTTCTTGGTAGGATGAGTCCAAGTCTCTGTCGTGCTTGGTACAGTACAGATAGGCCAACTCTCTATGCTCCAGCCTCCACTAAGTGTCCCGATCATTTCATCATTATCAGCCGCATGCAAACGTTACATATTCCGGCAACCTCCCATGCAAATTAAGCAGACCTCTTTCNGAAAAAAAGAGGAAATGGAGAGTGCTAGGGTAACCCTCTCTCCAGTGTAAACGGGCCCTAATGTATAAGTGCGTTCCTTTTGCGTTTCTTCGCAAACATCAAAATTTGTATTCGAAAGTTGTAGACATAACGAAGTGGCTGTGGTTTAGAACAATAATTATAACGATACCAAAAAAAGAAAGAAGTCTTCGTGCATATATAACAACGCTATGAGTTTTGTTCCACTGTTCATTTACAACACAACTGTTCATCGACAATGTTTTGGAGTATGGTAACAGAACAAACAGCTAGCTACAATCCCGCAGTTTTCCATGCACGCATGTGCAGATTTTTTGTAGCCTGCCTGTAATGAACTCTGAGCCTTCCATATTCCTTTCCTTGGTTGCACTTTGTGTTTCTTGCTCCTGTACATGCGTGGTATTTCAATTCCACCTCCAATAACCCAAGTGCCCTCCCTTTGCCTTCCTTGATTACCCGCAGTAATTTCACTCCTCACGCTTGCCAGTATCCCGTCTTTTAAGAATGGACAAAAAATTTGCAGTAATGTTATCTGTAGGCTTTTTTAATTTGTTTCTCATATATGTTTTATCTCATCGTCGTTCCGAAACATTTTTTTTCTTTTTTTTATTTCACTTATATGCCCCNCCCCCCCCCCCGCTTAAAAACACCCTTATGAAGTTATGGAAGCCCAGGGCTCTAAAATGGGATTTTGTGGTATGGCAGAATGCAGACAAGCTTTTTTTAGCACTTTGGGTCCCGAAACCACGGAAAAAATTAAATTGCCGAAAACGAAATTCGCTTTGACTGGTAGCTTTCAAAAGGTGATTCAGGCGCTCGCATTTAGTGGTCATGAAAAATTCGACAATTTTTATTTTAAAATTCATGGTATAGTTTCATAGCCAGCTCCATAAGCTTTAATTTGATATAGGGGTTTAGGTATCTACAGTTTAAACCGGGCACGCTACATCGCTTGGATGCGCAACACCTTTGAAGGTATACAGTAACCTTGAGCCCTCTTAAACAAATTGGCTAGTTTTCCAGGATAATATAAACTGCCAGATATGGCCACTGATACAAATATTTCTATTTCATTGTTTGTTGTAGGTCTTATTTTGCCATTCTGGATCACTGGAAAAACAAGTCATCTCTTCAAAAACCTACACATTTCTAATATCACAAGAAGACTGCACTGATTTGGCAAAATAATTCTTGAAATTTATTGCAGGAATTGTACTGAATCTATACTGGTTTACTGTCTTGAATACCGGCATATAAGATTTTCAATGAAGTGCACAAGAGTTTGTTATCTTTTAAAAGATCGTTGTTATTTCTGCGAAACCAAGAAAAATGACGACAAAGGAGGTAAAAATAACACATCGAAATCATGTAAACTGTTAATTATGATTCCATAAATTAAAAACGTTTTTTGTATACAAAAACATTCCGTTAAAATCGGAAATTGGTGTAATCTTGGTGAATGAAATGACAGCGAATAAAGGAATTTAAACACTGTTTTGCTGATCAAGTTGGCTGATGTCGTTCATCATAGCTACAATACACACACCAAATTAGGTTGTAGTAATCGGAAGTGAAAACTTCAGTAGCTGTGTTACACTTTGAATAAATAACAGTGATAAGCGTATTTTAATACATTTAATCAAAGGCTCCTGTGAGCAGCTCATGGATGAATGTTTCCTTTTGCCTCTGTTTCAAAAACGAGTCTCTGTGCAAAAACCTTTCACATAAAAATGAGTTAATGAACCTGTAGGTGAAAGTCATATGAATGGTTTTGTACTTAGACTCCTTTGGACACAAAGACAAAACACAACTTGGAAATGGCCTATTGGATGAATGTACAAAACATAGTTGAATAAAAAGAGAAGAGGAATTGATCATTGTAGAGTTGTTCTTGGTACTGCAGTGGAAAACAGGAAAAGAAACATCAGTTGGTCAAATGAGATGGATAGATTTTGATGTCCAAATATGGTTGTTTATTGACACCCTTTAGGTGGTTGAATTCGTTCTCTGGTAAAATTGTTTTATAATAAATAATTATTTATTACATGTTTGAAATAAATCTCAACAGCTAGAGCACAACAACAAACATCAAGTTTAACACTGCTTTTATTAGGAACATTTTCTTTCTTTTTAAGTCCACTGAAATACTGACTAACATAATGTAGCACATAAAAGCTAAGAGGAGACATTGTAGCCAACAGTCTCCTATACATGTACATGTAGATCAGATTATACATTTTTTTGGCTGAGTTATAAATAACATAATCTTAACAGCAACAGGACACACATGTAGTAGAATTACAGCATGATAACCACCATTTTAAGAATTGAATGAAAATTCAACAGGTATAAGCTGAAACAGTTAGGATAGCTTATACTATAATAAACATTGCAAGATTTGTATTTAATTAATAGAGAGAGATTAACATATTCTATTTTTGTGTTCCTTAATGATGGAGTCTAGTATTTTCCTTTAATTGTAGTCCTAATATAAACGACTGATGTTTCTRTACATGTATATATTCATGTATATGAACATGATATGGAGCTGCTAATTTTAAGTTGAAGTTGTATTTCTGTATTCCACTGTAAAGCTGTAGGTTCTGAGTTAAGTTTTGACACATGTAGTGAGTTAAGGTGGATTTCACTTGTCAACATTCTTAACTTTAAGAACCTACATGGACAAAGTTCCAAAGTGTTTCCAACTCTGTAATTATACTGTAAATCCTCGAATTAGCAGCGCCCCCTCGAATAAGTGCCCCCTTGTCTTCTCCTAAATTTGAAATAAGCGTCCCGGGCACTAATTTGAGGATTTACAGTGTGCAGTTTCGAGAGCCATTTTATGTGCTTGTAGCCAATGTCTTTTGCAAAGAATGAGTTTCGACAGTTCAAGTGGCAGCTAAATGTAACACAAGTGTTGAAAGCCTCTTATTCTCTTCCTAAGTAGGTCAGTATTCCACATCCACCTGTAATTCTCAGACTAATTCCATGAAGTCTTAAGGGTGACTTGTGTTGTTAAAGCCGGTTTCTATGAAGTCTTCTACTATTATTTTTGGCAGCTGATAAACATGTATAGCATCAGTAATGTTGTTGTTAATATTAACATTTGCTTACTGTCACTTGCATATTATAGTATACTGTAGTTGTTACCAGTGTTCATCTGGGTTATTTGCATATGCACAATAGTACAATACACCAATTCCAGAAAAAAACCGGAAGTTGCACCCAAGCAAGGCTTAATAGCCCTTGAGCTTTCAAAATGGTGGACGAAATGCGGGGGAAGAACGAAAAAATTCAAATGTATGTAGGTTAGAGCTGCTTGTCTGGAGCAAATGTGGTAAAGAAAAGGAAAAGAGCTGGACACAAGTGTTGTGCCTTGTAGGAATTTTCATTAATGTCATATATTTGATAGACAGCTTGTACTGGCAAGCAGGAAGGTTATAATCTTCATCCCTTTTATCCAACCAAGTAAATCAGAACTGACTATAATTTACATACCAATTTTCTAAGGAAGACTGTTTTCCAACCATGAACCAGAACTGCAAATGTAAGAATACAAGCTGAAATGGCTACTAAGAGAATAAATGGATGGCATATATTTGATGGTGTAACTCCACTAAGGTTGTGTAGAGTTGTTAATCAATCCTGGATAGTGAGCTATTAGCTTGTAAACTGGCAGAAAAAAAAGTTATCTGATGTTTATTTGTCATTTGGTAGTGAATTTAAACAGAGTACACGATATTGTTCAACAGTGGTAATTAAATATTTGGTGATTTCCACCGTACTGAAATTGTGCATTATGTGGCTTCATGTTCTATTTTCTGGCACGGGGTGTAACATAGAAGGACACATGGTACAGCTGGTCTATAATTTTGCTAATAACATAAAAGTACAATTGAATTTCTTGCATAAGGACGATAAACCGTAGGCCCCGTCTCACAGCACATCACTGATCTGGTTCTTGTGGGACGTTAAAGAACGCATGAAAAGAGTAGGGGACGTAGAACCCGGTGTCGTGGTCTATCTGACTTGTGCCAGTCATTGGTCTGGGGTGGGCAAGGTGAGATCATACATGGCCTGCCTGCCTGCCTGCCTGCCTGCCTACCTACCTACCTACCAGTTACTTCCAGTTTATAGCCAGGGCAGTCCAAAGTCTGTTGTACATTGTACATCATAAACTGAAGTTCATATGACTCTTGTTTACTTTTAAACCAGTGTCAAACATTTTGCATATTGATTTTATAAGGCAATCTTTCAGGGTCTCACTATCCATAACAATGACTTTCCTAGCTTAAATTATTTCATGGAGATTGCCCTTACTTGGGTCTGTAACCTGAGTCCAGCTGGGGGACCCTGGGGAGGCGCCCAAAATTTCCCTTTTCTCTTGAACAAAAAAAAAGCATTATTTTTGTTTCTTGCACCTTCGTCTATCCCTGTTGATGCATTATTTCAGTGTACTTGTCCATTACTAGTTGTTAATTTTCTACGCCATCTTTCATGGCATGACTGATAGTCTTTGTTACGTTACACTGTAGTACACTTCATTGATAATTTTACTGGTGATTTGATTGATGAATCAGCTTTGTGATTGCATCCTACCCTGTAACACAATGGTGCTGTCAGTGTACCGAACCCTTGCTTATACCATTCTTGGCGAGTAGATCGTGGTCTTGTTTGATACTCTGATTAGCATCTTTTGAACTGAAGGATTTCCCTTTATTCTCTAACACCAATTGTTAATTTATGAAGAGAGATCGGATGTTCTCCAACTTAAGAAGACTGAACTCGTCAGTGAAAAATGAATCAGCCATAGGAAATTTGTTCAAGTGTTTTGTTGTAATATTCCCAATATCCGGCACAAGTTTTAAATGTACTTCCGTATGTTCTTTCGAGCTCTTGCTTCATCAGTTTTACTACTTTAAGCTACATTAGCTTTAGTAAAGCTATTCTTCAGGTCAGGGTCGTAAATTTTTATAATTTTCATTTCATTCAGATTCTTTTTCCTAAACCGACCATGAACAAAGTTCTTTTAGGCAATAAAAATGGTGAGAACAGGTTCTTTTTGCGCATATTGGAGATCATGACAATCGAAAGATGGAAAACATACCCGTCTAAAAGTTCCTTTATTTTGCAACTTTGATTTATACGGTGACTTTTAAGCCAGAATTTCAATTGGTGGAGTGTCAATTTTTCAATGTTCTTCGCTCACACTGATGCCGCGAATATCATTAGAAGAGAGATTGGCCTTTCTTCTTCTTTCGCCATGTTGCCTTATTTACCGCGAGGGCTATTAAGGCTCGTTGCAGTGCAACTTCCGATTTTTTCCGGAATCGGTGTATTAATCAGAATCAGGGGCGGGGGAGAACACTCTGCGACGCCTGGCACTTTTTGTGTATCTGAATCATCCAACAAAAAATGAAGTCACATCCGGTAAAAAAGAGCTCTGAGTGGCAAAATCAAATTTGAATATGGCAAAATCATTCTCTCAGTAAATAAAATGGCAATATTTTGCAATCGGCCGGATATTTGTAACGTTTTATTTGGCCATGATAAACGAAATTTTGTTTAAAACAAATGGACTTTCTGTATTTTTAAATTTTTGTTAATTTTTGTAAATTAAGTACTAAGTTTTTGCTATAAATAGTTTTTTAATTAAGTTTCTGGCAGGTCCCCACCAGCCTTTAGGTTGCCTCAAAACAACCTGCCTCAACAAAAAGTATATGCATGTATGCGTGTATGTATGTATGTATGTCTTCTTCCTCGTCATATCAGTTTGTTTGAAGGACAGGGTAATTATTTATTCAAAAACATGCTGTTTTGAAGGCATGTTTTTTACAAAATGTCGCCATTTCTTCCTAGCTGAGTTCCACAGGAGTCATCGTTGTGTGGAAATAATGAATTCTAGGTAAGTTGCATTCAATTCAAATATCCTATTCTCTTAGGTAGGCATTGCACTAAGAAAAATGCACAATAACAGGTTTCTATACAAAAATTTCAGGAGTTTTCTGCCCCGCCCCTGACCTGATCATAATCGAGTGAGTGAGTGCCATTGGACTGCCTACTAAGCTCATGGATGATGTAAATTACGTCATCCATGAGCAAAAATGGCGTTGGTTATGCAATGTTACGTGATTTAAGCAGTGACTGGATGGTATGCTCGTTCTCCAGCATTCTGTTAAGTCGTCCGTACAATTCTCTGTTAACCAGTTATTCTCAACACAACACTATGACCCCGGCCAGGGCTAGAACCCAGACCACTTGATCGGCTCATCCAGAGCCCAGTGCATTTTAAACCATTACACCACCACAGCTCCCACTCTTTGCCAAGTAGATGCTTTATGTTTTTCTGCTTAGCTAAATCAAGCTATTTTCAAATGTATGAAACTAAGAGATAGCCGCTGTTTGGGAAAGGAGTCCTGGAGAGAGGGGCAAAAACCAAGACTAGATAGGGTATCAAATTTATAACGCTTTTAGTGGTCAGTATAGCCTGCGAACAGTTGGGTTTAGTGTGGGCTAGCCGAGTGTTGTCCAAGGCGGGCAGGGCTAACTGCTTCACTTGCGGATATTCCGCCATTCGCTTTGCTCGTGGAATTCTTTATTTCGCACTAAACGGCTCACTTCGCTCGCCGGATTTTTTTCCACCCTCACTGGGAGCCAATTTGCAGGCTACGGTCAGTAAAACACAGTTAATGGAACATGACACCCCTTGAGGGTTAGGCTGTTTATGTTTGTCACACAATCTAGTAGGATAAACAATAGTACAATATTGAATGCTCAATTCATGAATGAACATTCCCTTATTCTGGCAGTTAGCACAAACACTATTCATGTCTGTATTTTAGCTTCTATCTCACGGTATAATCTAGCAATATATCTTAGCTTCTCCTAGATTGGCCCATATATTTGTTAGCCCCATTCATTGCTAACAAGCTCGCCATGTTGCGTCTATTTAGTTCATAGTACAGCTAGATACAGCTGTACCTATTGGTCAAACGTTGAGACACTGTCTTGGTATATAAATCTCAATACACTATCAGAGGGCATTATCCTGGCAGCTTGCATGACAGCACACAGTTTGTAACAATTTAGCTTTAAATTTTCCCACCCTCCCTCCCTTGGAGAAGGGCTTTTATTTGTTATTTGTCAATAAACTGGGGTCACTCCTTATGGTTCGGTTAAGTCTGTGTAGTGACATGCCCAAAGCTTTGGCATTGCTTGAGTCTTGCCATCTTATATCCTAGCCTTTATCTTGTCTGATCCAGCCTGTGCTGTGCTGGGGAGATAAGAAAGACTCTGCCAATACTCTTGTTCTATTCCCATGTTAGTGGGGGAATAAGTGAGGCTTTTAGTTTGTGCACCTATCATGAAGTTACATCAAACCTGCCACATGGCTGTGTCCCCCTCAATTACGCCATATTGTTGTTTGCATATTTTGTTTTGTTACCTTTTACCTGGTTGCATTACATAGTGACATTTTGTGTAACAGGGTGGGAATTCCTAAACCCCAGAAGAATGCCCCCCCTGATATCACAAGTAGATCTTCACCTTTAAATTAACATGAACAAGCAACCTGGCATTTAACATTTCCTTCTGATTTCCTTTACGAAACTAACTAAATAATATTTTTTCTTGTCCTTTTATATAATATACAGAATTAGCCAAGCATAAAAGCGGAGCTCCTGATTGCAATAACTGATGACAAAGGAAAAAGAGAATTATTTTTTCTTGGATCAGAAACTCAAAAAATGATCAATTGTGAGCATGTAATTGTTCAGCGTGTGGTTTTGCTATTTTTTCCAGTTAAATTATAACAAACTATACCTAACAAGCCTAACCAAGATTGTAGAAATTATCAGGGACTTTCCAAGAGACGATTCTACAAGGAATATGTCAGAAGAAAAGTCAACAACGCACCAGGGGTTAATTTGCGACGAAATTTTGCCTTTGCAAGTACTCCTTCCTTCTCCCACAGTGAAATAACATGACTTGAGCCCGCGATCCAATCAGTAAACCAGTAACTGGTCACTGGTCAAAAAGACACGAAACCTCAATGAGCTCTAAACCTGAGCCCGCAATATAGTCACCTCATACTGGTCAGCGGATAGCTTGTTGTGACAGCTGTCAAATAACAATAGCGTGGACACCCAAAATCAAAGATGTAGCTATGGTAATGGTGCTACTCTCCTACTTTTCAAGGTATTGGCGTACGGATTTACAGACAGACGGACGTGCATACATACGTATGGACAGTCACGTGACAACCAAAATTTTCAAGATCAATGGGTTACCAAATTTTCTAAGGTATGGGGCTCCACTCGTGCACCTTCAGTGCGTAGGAGCTCTTCTATAAATAGAGGTTCTACAAATCATTCCTAACATGACCATTTCTTCAGATTTGGGAGAATGTGAAGTTACATCAATTTAAGTGGTTTGGTGATCATGTCATGCTTGCAATACTTGCAGTTTGTCAGATCATTAGAGGAAGTAATGTATCATATGTATATCTTATTTGCCAGCTGGGAGGTCCGTATGGTGAAAAACTGTGACTGAGGTCTTGAAAATGCTGCCCTTGGCCTGCAGCCTCAGGCAGCATTTTCAAGACCGAGGTCACAGTTTTTCACTATACAGACCAACCCTAAGCCGGCAAATAACATGTTTATTTTTTTCTCCTGCAGTAAATTGGTTTTACAGATCACAAA